TTTTTAATATTGCACGGACGCAATGTTTCGTAAAAATTTTCTTAGAAATTAACATCACAATTCTGTTTTCAGTGAAATGGCAAGCGAGACTTCTTTTACCTCTTTGTTAGATGATTCGATTTCGGATAATGACAAAAGTATCGAGGATTATTCGTCCAAGTTAAAAATATCCTTTAGAATAATGTTACATTCTAATTTTTTAATATTGTTGCTCTTAATGTTGATTTTTCTTAACGTCATTATGATCACGATGCCTTGGAGAATTTGATCAGCAGATACGACGCAGAATCATTGCAGCAAGCTCTGCAACAATCTTTGTCTTCATGCTCGGATAATCTACTGGATAAGAAAATTTTCAACGAAACGCTCCCTTTCGCCTATAATCTTTTATCCGAGGTAAAGAAGTATCTCATATACAATTACACGGTATTTAACATTCGAATTTTCATGCCTCGACAAAGGGAAAATTTCTAATTTTTCGAAGAAAATTCTTTCGCATAAAGTTACATTCTTTTGAGAATTTCAAGATACACTTAAGTATTTGGTTAATTGAACGTCTGGTATAACTAATTATTGTTTCAAATTTTATGACCATTCGAAGGCTCTAAAGAAAATTGATGAGATAGTAAATGCAAATCTGGATGGAGATACGGTGGAGGACGCGAAACGACAATTGCTCGTGTGTCACGAATTATTGAGCGTATGGGAAAAATCTATGGAACGCGTGTCGGAACTTCATAAAACAACTGCCATTGATCTTAAGTGCATAGTGGAGAACGTGCTTCTTACGATTAAATTAATATTCGAACATTGTAGAGCAAGGTGAGACAAATGTTCAAAGACCTTTCTCCAGTCGTCTTTCCTTTTTCCTCTTTTTTTTTTAATTGCCTGATTAATTATTTTCAATTTTCTGGTTAATTATTGTGAATTGTAAATTTGTATGCACTTATAGAATATTTAGAGATGCAAATTTGAAATGAAACACCCATCGTAGCATCTTGATTATTATTTATATGATGGACAACTTTTCTTTTTATTTGTATTCACAAAAAGTATGAATCTACATTGATATTAGCAATTGTGATGTTACGTGATAATTTTATTTTTCATCGAATAAGAATACGTGATAGCAAATGTGAATGATATGACTTTCGATCTGAAAACGATTACAGTAAAAAATTATACGGTACTTTATTCGAGGACGTATCGGAGGAATTAACGAGCCTCTTTCGCAAGGTGAAAACGATCTTGAATCTATTTCTGGCCACTTTAGACGGTGTAATAGTCTTCGACACGGATACGGAATCGGAAACGGAACTGTTGATAAAAGGTGAGCGATCCTATTATGTCTTAACGATTCTTTAACGCGAACTATCTTTATCTTTATCGGAGTACGCCGAGTACAGGAAAGAAGACGCTCTATTTAATTTAATGGTCAATGTTGCATCAACACAACACACATCATTCATTTCAACGTCTCTCAAATTCTCAGATTTGTCAAATTGTAAAATTTCCAATCTAAAAGTAGACTTTTAGACTTTTAGATTCTCAGATTTTCAGAATTGTTGCGCAATAATTTCGCATAAATTTGACATTGTTTCACTGTTCTGTTCTTAATACATAGATTATAAATTATTGTCTATTATAATAATAATCATCGATGCATTTTGTTCAAACGTTGTCTGTTAAAAACAGTGATCGATTCGATCGGATTGTTCGCCACCGTTGCGCACGAATTGGATCTGAAAACGTTCGTAGAAACGTCGAAGATGTTTGGCAAATTAGCGATTGTAAACGAACATCACGTAAAACAAACGAATGTCACGAGCGTCACGCTGCACCTTGCCCAATTAACAAAAGACATATCGTCCATGCTTTTATTTTGCCAGGTACGTTTTAATGTCAAATTCTATATGAAAAGCATGAGAAATGTTTCACTTTTTGTTTTCCTAATGTTGCGCTATTTGGGATTCTCATAGTTAAAGTCGAAAGTTGAAATTATTTATAATTACAAATCCGATTATTTGCTACTAAATCAATGTTTCAGAATGTTTTTTTTTTTATATAATAATATTCTAGGTAACAAATATTAGGAAGTTAAAAACAAAAACGAATATCCGAATTGTACATCGTATAAATGAATAAATGTCTTTTTATAAATTTTTTTTCCCCATTACATTTACTTAGGATCCAACTGATCGAGTCGAAGAACGAAAAATAAAAGTTATTGGTCATTCGTTAAAAATTTTGGACAGATTATTTGCCGTCTATTGTTCACACGTGAATAACGAAATCCTCTCGTTTGCGATCGAACTTTTATTAAAAATGCACAGGTAGTATCTTTCATTTCATTTATTCTCTTTCGATCGATTTGAAATATTTCTGCATTCGTTCTCTGCAATTAGGTGCTCCCCATTATGTTTAAAAAAATCGCAGATCGACAGCAATTTAATCGAATTAATAAACGTTCAAATCTCGAAGGGGTCCGAGCCACTTTTAAATACCATTTTCAAATCGTCTGACTTTAAACAGGTTTGTCCACGAAGTATAATGAACGAATTAGTATGTATTCTATGTTATTCGATATTACTAAAATATTTTAGGTTTTCTTCGATTATGGAAATCAGACGAATGTTGATAAATTAGGCTACCATTTGTTAACGATTAATATCATGAAAAAACTAATTAACATGCCATACGAGCATCATTGTAAATGGACATTAGGTGCTGAATCGATTATCGATGTCGTATTAAGCAACATTAACTACTGTAAGTATTCCACTTTGAATGCCGTTTAATATTTATTAAATAAAAAAAGAAATAAATAAGTAATAAATAAATAAGAAATAAATAAGTCTTATTAATTTAGAATAAATAAGTAATTAATTTAGAATAAATTTAATTAATTAATTTAGAATAAATAAGTAATAAATAAATAAGAAATAAATAAGTCTTATTAATTTCAATCATACTCATACATTGACAAACACATAAACCGTATAGGCCTTAAAACAAGTTCGAAAATATTTATATTTGTACCTTTGTACCTAAAAAGTGCAGGAAGAGATTTGTGTGGGTCAAGTGAGATTACCAGGTATACACGACATTGGTGAAAGACCGAGATCTGCTTCGATATACGAGGCTACGATAGTACCAATTTGTGGACTGATCAGCCAAATTCCTCCAGACGGATTTCATGCTATTGAATTGATTTTATTGAAATATTTGCTAGGCAATCAATTTTGGAGTTCTTTGCTCAGCTCAGATATTTGGTGCTTTGTTGACCGGTTTGTAAATTGAATCTTATCGTAATCTTAATTTTTACACTTGATCATTACTTTTAAAGTAGCAGCCACGTTCATAATGTAATTGGTCTTCTAGTTCAGAAATAGTTATTTATAAAATACTGTCCTCTTTGATGTAAATGAATTTTCCGAGTGTCGTCTGCTTCTACAACATAATACTTTTTTTCCAGTATTGGCTCTTCAGAACTTTGTGCCAATCACGTGAAATACTTATTGAACGTCTATGCTGTTTTAATGAAACGTAGTAACAGTTTCGAAGTCGTTATGTTGGAGAGCTTAATTGGAAGATTGTACAATTTGCTGTCGGAGGAAGCGAAGCACACCCTTATCATGGAGCTCGATGATCTTGAAAATCCATTCTGGTTGCCTGTCGCGCGGTTTTTGCCCTCCAGAACGAAACTATTCTTGCAGAATCGACTGGCGTGCGTATTAAACGAGATCCCGCGCACTTTCGCTGAATTGCAGCGGCAACCCACTGTACAAAATTGGAATCGTATCGTAAGTTATATTCCAGAGTAAATAATAAATAAATTTTTGATTGATTTTTTTTTAATAGCATACTTTACATCATATTATAATAAATTTTAATAATAATTTTAATTTTCTTCGTTAAAAGACAACGCTGATGCTATTGATCGGAAAACTTAGTTACACGGATGAGAGAAATACTATTGATATTCTATCTCAGATATGGAACTCTATTGCTAGCACAATCGAAATTTTCGAAGGCAGACAATTGGATATATTATCGGAATTTATGTCGAAACTATTCAGTGCTACGCAACCTGAAAAAATTCAGGACGATACTTTCTTCTCGGTATATATATATATATATATATTTTTTTTTAGATAAATTAAATATTTAAATTTTAAGTATTATTTTATGTAGATAAAATTGTAATGTTATAATTTAGAAAGGCATAGAAATAGAAAATGAAAGGTGAAATGTATTTTAAAAAATGTGTTTTAAAATATATTACATAAAATACATAAAGCTTTTAATTTAGTTATAATTATGTTTTCAATCTATTTTATATACCTCTTGATTTCAATCTATTTTATATACCTCTATTTTATATACCTCGTTTTTCATTTATTTTTCAGTAGAAAATTACTTTACTCGTACTACTTTTCGTTAATTAATACTTGATTTATTACTTGATCACTTATCACTAATAAATTAAATAAGAAAAGTTTCTTTGATAAATCTCGTATTAAGTATATCGAGTCACAGCGGCCATTAATAATTACATTTAATGATTTCAGATTCTAGATGCAGTTTTAACCTCACTTTCGTATTTTCCGCCATATGTGAAGGCGATAGCGTCACACTATTTGCAGAATAATATCGACTCTCTTGACTGCTGTGGAATCAAAACGATTAATGCCTTATCAGAGTTCAATTGTCGACTTCTGGAAGATGAAAATCCATGGGTACGACAAGAAGCTTTTGAATCGTTTGATCATGTTGCTCATATGTGTCCGAACGAAGAACTCGTCACTAAAATGGCAGCTGCGATAACAAAAAAATCATCATTGAGAGATTCTTTACCGGCTTATCTTTCTGGCACGACTTATTACGAACTTCATGATTTCTCGAATGTTGATGGCTACCTGCAGCAAATAGCCAAGCATGCAAAAAATGTTTGCCATATTTGCAACAATTACGATGACTCTCAGAGGGACGAAAAGCTTGCTAAATTGGAAATCGAGTCCATCGATGAAAATTCGTCTTTAAATGATCTCGATGAATACGTGAGCAAAATATGTGACGAATTAAATGATATTTTTAAAAAACATAACGACATCGGAAGTCACATGTTACAAAGATTAAGACTAATTTGCGCGAAGATTTTGGATCTAACTCAATAAAAATAAATCTTATTTTAACACATTTTGAATAATAAATTGTAATCTTTCTTTATATCGTGAGAATAAGTTAATGAATGAGTTAACATGAGCAAATGAATTAAGAAATAAATATAAATATATTTTTTTATTTTCATTACTGATTTATCCACCGACAATTTTTTTTAAATCTAAAAATTAAATTTTTAAATTAAATTTTAAATTTTTAAATTAAATTTTTTACAAATCATTCTCGAATCTTCTGTATAATTACCATATTGAAAAATATGATCGAAAAGTATTGAATAATTGATAATAAATATATTTATGTTGTCTTGAAGATGTAAATAATTATGTATATTTACTGCATATATTAAGTATAGCATGCATATGTAAAGAAAAACATATTTTATATGAAATATTTTATATAAAATAACAGGTGACAATTAAAAAATTAAAAATTATTAAAATATGTTTTCATTGATATCTAACTAGCTAAAAAATGTAGCTAAAAAATGTATATCTAACTAGCTAACTAGCTAACTTAATTATTTATGTCGGTTTTATTTTTATTCTCAATGCGTTTCTTAGAAATATTGCTTATAAATATTGCATTTCTTAATAGCTGCAGAGGTTGTACGAGTTTCTGAACATTATATATACTACTAACAGAACTCTGCCAATCAGTTGAAACAATTAAGTCGTCTGCAATACTACACGTTTAAAGTGTGTTCAATGTTGTAGTTCTAAGTGCATGTTTAAAAAGTATAATAAAAACTTAAAAAGTACTATATAAAGTATATAAAGTATATAAAGTATATAAAGTATAATAAATAACTTAATAATAAAGTATAATAAATAACTTATGTTTGTAATTTAAATATCTGTTTTTTTCATTTAAGTGAGCTATGTCTTTTATTCAAATTTTAGCATGTAATTTATTAGATTGTGAATTTTTATGCAAATTCATAGAATGTACTTAAAAGAAACTGGAACTTAAATATTGTAGAAAATTGTTTTACATATCAAAAACTATATATACATATGGAAAGCACTATATGTACTTTGGATTTTTTATATATTTTTTTTATGTATATATTTTTTATTATGTATATAATTTCCTATATTTTTATGTATATATTTTTTATTATGTATATAATTTCCTATAAATGCATACAAATTCACAATCTATTTACTATAAAATCTTATGTAAGATTAATGTATAATCTTATTTATGATGTTGTTACTTATGATGTCTTATTTATGATGTTACATTTTGCTGCTTTTTTTTTCTTAGAAAAAGGAAGATCATTAACATATTTTCAAGGTCAGTGAATGTGTATTATAATTTTATATAGATTTCAACATATAGTTTTATATAGATTGAGCAGTACTTTAAAATATTTTTCTCTGCATATACAGATGGAAAATAACAGAGAATTAGAGAGACATTTTCGTGACGATACAGTACTTAATAAAATAAGTAAAATGTTTATATCACTGCAACAAGAAAAATTACACACAATTAATATTTTCTTAAACCAGGTATGTTTTCTTGCTTAAATTGTTGATCAGATTATATCAAATATTTAAAAATGTATTTAATGAGTTGAATTTTCTATTGGTATTTGTATTTATATTTATTATTATAATTTAATTTAATAGGTAATTGAAACCTTAATTAAACATATGAAAGGAAAAGATTCATTATTTGAAAAAATGTACAAAAAAATTATTTACTGTGGCAGTTTTTATAAAAACACAAAAATAGAAGAACCAAATGAATTTGATTTAAATATTATTTTGGAGATCCCTATTAATAATTCTAGTATTAATGTACGTATAACTTAATATTTAAATTATATTTAATTTTATGATAATATGTGCTTTCTTTTTTGTTTAGTTTTGTCCAGTTTCGCCAGCTTATGTTAAATTATCTATAGATACAGATAATATACGAGCATATAATACAGCAAAAGTTCATCATTTAACAAGTCAGGAAAGAAGGTTAAAAAGCAGTTATAATTATTACATATAAAATATATAAAGAATTTTATCATATTTTTATTAAAACATTAGGACACTTGAAAAATTAATTTTTTATGGCATTCTGAAACCAAGTAGTTTTCGTTGTTGGATTAAAAAAATTGTAGATCAAGTTATTAATACTTTACCAAGGATTGGAAATCAACGTGAATTATCAGTCGATGATTTTACAGTAAAAATTAGAAAAAGTGAAAATGGCCCTGCTATTACATTAATAATAGATGTTCCACATCATATTGATATTGAAATTGAACGTATATCTATTGATTTAGTACCAGCATTATCATTTGATATAAGAGTCATTGAACGACTTACGTCAAAATTTCATATACTTAAACAGGTTTGTGTATATATTACATTCTTGAAATAAATGAAGACACTTACATTGTAAACGGTTTTTATTTTTAGTGTCGAAATAAAGAATGGTTTGCAATTCCAATACCAGAAAAGGATAGTAAGTTTGTTGACAGTCATCGTTGGAGACTTTCTTTTTGTCATCAAGAAAATGAAATACTTAAAATGTATGGTCCTGCGAAACCAATTATACGTTTAATGAAGGTAATAAATTAAGTATTTAAATTCTGGTATAATTGTAGGATATTATATTATTCTATTTTTAGAAATTACGGGATACACAAAAGTGGAAAAATATAGCAAGTTACTACATCGAAACAGTGTGTGTAAATAAATTATCAAAGAGCGATATGGATATTAAAACATCTAAAACATTACTTTTTTTTACAGTAATATACAAGATATAGAATCAATATACTCACAAAATTTATAAAGCATTACATCCTCTATGTAAATTATTCATTTGTTTTAGATACTTAAAGAATTACATCATGCTTTTGATCAACATAAGATAGAATATTTTTGGAACGAAAAGCATAATTTACTATCCAATATTCACAGTACTCAAATGTGTAATATAGCTAATCGTTTAAGAAGAATAATAAACGATATTGAAAAGAATGCAGAGAATGATGATTTCATATTGGCAAAATATATTTGTAAGTTATGTTCTTGTGAATTATTTTTATAAATATTCTTATAAAATGTGTTTATTTGATTTAAAACTTTTTGCCATGTCGTAGTAGATTTTAAATCAAAATATTTATTAAAATATTTATAAAGATCATAATATTTAAAAAAACGAGTAACAATTTAGAATGATTATGTACTGCTCAACTACATCAAATCTAAATCTATTATTTTTTAAAATTATAGTAAATTCAAGAGAATTATCATTATTACAGAAGGAAATTAATAAACCTCCAGGTATGTATCAATATATCATAATGAAATATACAATAATTACATACATAATTACATACAGTTTCAGAGAAAACAGAAATGACAAATGATGCAGAAAGGACAAATAACTGTTGTATAATTCTCTAAGTGAATTCTAATCATAGATTTTTTTTATAGGCATTCCCATATAAACAATTATAAATATTTTAATAATATTTATAATTTTTAAATATTTTATAAATTCTTATATTTTTATTGTATAATTTTTAAATACTTACAATTACATTTATAATATTATATTATCATAACATAACATTATCTTATATTAAATTTTTTATCTTTTTGAACTATTTTTAGAAAATAAAATATATTGCAATTATTTAACAGTTTATTTCAAATATGATATAATGTCTATATATCATAAAGATATGGTTCCAGCTTTTTGATAGGAATTTGTAATTTTATTGTTAAAGAGTTTCGTTAAAAAAATTGTTGACTGTTAAGGAATTAATATAATTAATATAATTTAACATATACATACTTTTAAAAGTGTAAAATATAATATATTTAATATATTTTCATACATTTCGTTTCATACTATGATTAATTAAAGGTACTGCATTGCAGTCTGTCCACTCCAGAAAGAAGTTTCCTAATTTGACAGCACAACGAATCATAGTAAGACAATCATTTTCTGCACTATGTGCACCTTCAAGGGTTTTACCAAAAATATGTTTATAAATACTACCCAATTTAAAATTAATTGGCTGACTATTTGTAAAATCCAATTTTCTTCTTACAATATATTCTTTTTTATTCTGAAAATTTTTATTAGAATGTTCCAATTTTATAATTTGATTTTCAGGAGTTTTTTCATTAATTTCTTGCATCTTTTTATAGTTAGAAGTTTGTGGAGTATTAAATAAACTATCAGAATGAATTATAGTGTTTTTAGTTTTAGGAGAAGTGTTATTTTTGTTATAATCATTAAAATTTGTATTCATAATAGAATCTAATGTATCTGATAAAATCTTATCATAACCATCATTTAATAAACTACTAACTTCATTCGAAGAAGAACTAGTAGTAATAGTCTGTACAGTGTTCATTACCTTTGTTGGACTTTGTTTACGCGAGTAAAAAAGCTTTACTAATTGTAGCATATCAATACTTAAAACTTCTTCACTGAAATTCTTTAAAGGAAGAAGTCAGATTATGTATGACTTTTAAAAATTACATTAAGATATAAAATTGCATATACCTTCTCAATATTTTTGAGCTCTGATAAAAAGATTGGATAGTCGTAATTATTCCCATTGTAAGCTACAAAACAAGATGGTGCTGTTTGTCGATTTATAAAATTCGTTATTAAATTATATACTTCGCAATTAAAATGTTGAGCTTCTTTTAGATTTTCATTGGATAAACCTGAAAAAATTAAAAGATGTTGAAATTTGTTTGGAGCAAAGATGAAGAAATTTGTTTAGCAAAATTATTTACTAAAAATAATGAAATATTAGATACCTGTTAGTGTTTGAATTTCCTTTGTAACAGGTTCATTTGGATGTATTGGCAAAACAAGTTTTTGTAAAACTCTTGGTAAATTATCTTTAGTATTAGATATAGCAGCTCTTGATACTGCAATTAATGACATTTCTGTGATTTTTGGCATGTAACTCTTCGTGATTAATCCAGTTGTTTCCAAATCGAAAAATATAAATGTTCTTATCATTGTTAAAAATGTTTTAATAAAATTAAATAATGCTATACAATTGCATTCCTATTATAAAAATAGAATTTATATTAGCTACATCGTTTATGTGTAATTAAATTTTTAACTTTTTAAAAATATTACTCATGTCCTAACCTATTATAATACACGTGCATTAAATAGTAACTTTACTAAGTTACCGCGGTTACAATAGTAATAATATATTTTATTTATAAATTAAATATATAATACTTAATTGAATTTATAAATTAGTGTACAAAATATTAGGATTTTTATTCATTATCTCACTATTGTATCATTTATTTGTTATTAATTATTATCACATTATTTGATAGTTAATTGATATTATTAAACAAATTAATTTTCAACGTTATTCTTTTTCAAACAAATATAAATGTGTAATTTTTTTTAGGCGTTTCTTTACTATATATGTGAAATTATTTTTTCATTAAACAATTATAGCGAGTGATATATAAACTATAATATATTTTTTCCATATATATATTATTCTTCCTATATTGAAAATACATTAACAAAATTGTATTTTTTCATTATACGTATGTTTTTTATTTTTATTTTTACATTTTATATATATATATATATATATATATATAT